GTGTGTGTGTGTGTGTGTGTGTGTGTGTGTGTGTGTGTGTGTGTGTGTGAGCGTGCGCGCGCGCGCGCGTGGGGGCAGCCACCCGATGCCAGCCAGCGCGGCTTGCATCGCTCGGAGGGGCTGTCAGGGTAGAAAGCACTTGCCGTGGGTGCCCAGCGTAACCCATGGCGCAACGGCCGAGGCTAGTTGCGGCCCATCGTCGATGCCTTTTCGCAAAGAATGGCGTCAATGGGTGTGCATGTGACAGGCAGCTTCTCACGGTTTGTATGCGAAAGCTGTGGGGGGGGCGCACTGGCGTCAAGTGCAGGCGCATGGCACGCCCGCCCCTTGCGCCGCCTGGAGACGCCCTCAGCCGCTGCGCCCGTCGCAGCGCAACCCCCCCCCCCCTCGTCCGCACACGCACGTGCACCCACGCCCCTCGCGCACTCCCCAACCACGCCGGTGCCGCCTGGCCCGCCTCCAACCTCCAGAGACGGAGTCGTGGGTGCTCACTGCCTCTGTCGCCAATGTGAAGCTCAACACACACGTGGACTCTGGTGGGTGGCCACTTCCCTCCAACCCTCTGACTCGTCCCCCACAAAAAGCCGTGCAGGGCTGAGCAGACTGACAGCACGGGGGCCTAAAACCCAACACCCTGAAGCCGTCAACACTGACCGAGGCTCTGTGCGTGGTGTGTGTGGCCACCCTACGAGCCTCCTGCTGCCCCTCCCTGATTTGATACCAGTATCCTGGCCCTGAAACCCGGCACCTGCTGGTCTCCTCGTGACTTGTAGATCCCCTCACACACCCGCAACCGGCCATGTGACGCACCTGACCTGAACAACACCCCCCCCCCCCCCGTGCAGCCGAGTTCACGGGCTCCCTGGCTCAGATCCAGGAGGGGCTGCAGAAACTCAACATAAACGAGGAGGTGCGGGCACGCTCACGCGTATGCATGTGTGTTTGTGTGTGGGGGGGGGTCGCTTCATCATATTACAGGCCGAGCAAGACCAGCAGGCTGTGCACTTCATCTTGCCAAGACATTGATCAAGGCACACTGGGGAAACCACCGGGCTGCCCCCGCATCGCCCCAAGCATTGCAACGCCAGTCCCAGCACACCGCCGTTGCCACGCCGGCGCCTGCACGCCTGCCACTCCTGCTTGCTGGTGCCTCCCCCTGTTTCCATACATCAGCACCTCACTCACACATATCCGTTCCTTCTCCTTTTCTTCCCCATACACACACGCGCACATTCGCGCGCGCGCACGCGCACACACACACGCGCACACACACCATTCAGGAGCTGCGTGAGAAGAAGCGGTGGGGGCGGCTGCAGAAGACAAAGGGCGACCTCGCCCTCATCAGCGGGTCACCCAAGGACGCCTTCGAACACTACAGGTCGAATCCGATGGTGGTGGCGCGGCCGGGTTGGTGGGGGTGGTGTTGGGCCTTGTTGGTGCCGGGGGGGGGGAAGCCTCCTTACCTAGGGGCGGTGGCTTCAGGGTTTTTGGTTCAGGTGAAATATTGAGCGTGACCTGGTGGGGGCGTTGAGACGGTGCATGGCGGCAGCCGTCGGGCGGGGGCGGCGGCGCCGCGGCGGGCGACGGGTCTGAGGGGTCGTGCAGGACGGGGAGGGAGGGGCGGCACCAGGCTGGTTGGCGTAGCGGGTGGGTGGCAGGTTGGGGCCCCTACCATCCAGGCCCACACCTGCGGCCTGGTGATTGCAGCCCCAACCCCTATACCGGCAGCCCCACACATGCGGTGTGGGGCGTTTATCACACCGCACCGCATTGACTGTCACCCATTTTTTGGAATAGCTTCTTCACACTGAAGTTCGCGCTTACCCTCACCCACCCCCCAGGAGCGGCATGGAGCTGTCGAAAATCGCGGGGGACACCATCTGGACGGCCGCCGCGCTGGAGGGACTTGCGCACTCGCGGGTCATGGAGGCGCTCTCCAGCGCCGCCGCCCGCGGCGCCGCCGCCGCCGCCGCTGGAAGCGCCGGCCGCGCCAGCGAGGCGGGCGGTGCGCTGCGGCGGAGCCTGGCCGTTGGGGACGGGTCCGCGGCGGCCGCGGCGGCCGCAACGGCGGGCGC